AAATATCTTGACATGAATGATTTACAAAGTGATGAGTTCGTAGTGATGCCCTCATTTGTTCGCTTGTTTATAGTGCAGTATAATGCATGAGTTTTCATAACCAGGTAATTAGATTTGGCTACTATATTGTCTGGTTTTGATGACTTAAAAAAGATTGCTGCCATAAACCATAGATTGGTAATCATACTTACAAAAATGTGTGTTTACAACAAGTGCCCCAAGTGGTTCTTTTTCTTTTTCTTTTTCTTTTTTTTTGATTATACATTATTTTGGGGGCACAAAGCTGACAGTCAGCACCCGTATACAGTATGTGGTGAGCAAATCAATGCTATCAGCATGCCAACCAACTCAAATTGCAATTATTCCACCCCCCACCCCCCTGGCAAACTTAGGTCTGTTATCTCCCTCTGCAAGTCCAACATACAGGATACTACTGTGGTCTTTCTTTCTTTCCTTTTTTCTCTCAGCTCCCACTTTTGAGAGAGGACATGTGGTGTTCTTCCCTTCGTTCCAGTCTTATTTCACTTAACATAATTTTTCTCCAAGCTTATCCATGTTGCTGCAAATGGTGGAATTTCATTCTTTTTTATGGCCAACTAGTATTCCATCATGTATATATACCATATTTTCCTCATCCACTCATCTGTTGATGGACATTTCAGTTGGTTCCATTTCTTGGCTATTGTAAATAGAGCTGTAATGAACATGGGAGTGAATGTATCCCTTTGACATGATGATTTCCATTCCTCTGGATATATACCCAGAAGTGGGATTGCTGGATTGTATGGTAGATCTACCTGTAGTTGTTTGAGGAACCTCATACTGTTTTCCATGGTGGCTATACTAATTTACAGTCCCACCAACGGTGTAAAAGAGTTCCCCTTTTTCCGCATCCTCAACAGTATTTGTTATTGTTAGAGTTTTTGATTATAGCCAGTCTAACTGGGGTGAGATGATATCTCAAAGTGGTTTGAATTTGCATTTCCCTGATAATTAGTGATGTTGAGCATTTTTTCAAGTTCTTGTTGGCCATTTGTATGTCTTCCTTCAACAGACATTTGTCTGTTCAGCTACTTTGCCTATTTTTAATTGGTTTTTTTAAATTGTGAAGTTAAGGTCCTTGTATATTCTTAATATTAATCCCTTGTGAGGTATATAGTTTGCAAATATTTTCTCCCATTTCATTGGTTGTCTTTTTGCTCTGTTGATTGTTTCTTTGCTGTGTAGAAGCTTTTTAGTTTGGTATAATCCCATTTATTTATTTTTTCTTTTGTTGCTCGTGCTTTTGGTGTTGTATTCATAAAGTCTTTGCCCAGTCCTACTTCCTGGAGTGTTTCCCTTATGTTTTCCCTTAGTAGTTTTATAGTTTCAGGTCTTATATTCAAGTCTTGAATCCATTTTGAGTTGATTTTGGTATATGGTGCATGGTGCATGTCTAGTTTCATTCTTTTGCATATGGATATCCAATTTTGCCAGCATCATTTATTGAAGAGACTGTCTTTTCTCCAGTGTATGTTCTTGTTGCCTTTGTCAAAGATCAGTTGGCTGTAAGTGTATGGGTTGATTTGTGGATTCTGGATTCTGTTCCATTTTTCCTAGTATCTGTTTTTATGCCAGTACTACACTGTTTTGGTTACTATGGCTTTGTAGTGTAATTTAAAAGTACAGCAAAAAAAGGAAACTACAGATCAATATCTTTGATGAACATAGATATAAAAATCCTCAGGAAAATACTAGCAATCAGAATACAGCTACACATCAAAAAAATTATACACCATGATCAAGTGGGATTCATCCCAAGGATGCAAGAATGATTCAACATATGCGAGTCATTTGATACACAAATCAACAAAGTTGTAGACAGAAGCCATATGATTATCTCAATAGATGCAAAAAAATAATTTTTGGTAAAATTCAACATCACTTGATGATAAAATCTCTCAGCAAATTAGGTAGAGAAGGAAAGTATATGAACATAATAAAAGCCATGTATGGCAAACCCACCACCAATATCATCCTGAATGGGGAAAAGCTGAAAGCTTTTTCCCTAAGAACAGGAACAAGACAACAATGCCCACTATCACTATTCCTATTTAACATAGTGTGAGAAGTGCTATCAAGACCAATCAGGCAAGAGAAAGAAATAAAAGGGTATACAGATTAGAAAAGATGAAGTCAGACTGTCCCTGTTTGCAGATGATGTGATCCTATATGTAGAAAAGCCTGTAGACTCTACCAAAAAACTTTTAGAGCTGATTAACAATTTTAGGAATGTTGCAGGTTACTAATAAACTCCAAAAGTCGGTAGTATTTTTATTCTCCAACAATCAAAAAAGTAAGCCCATTTTACAGTAGTCACCAAAAAAAAAAAAAAAAAAGAGAGAAAAAAAAATCTGGTAATCAATTTAACCAAGGAGGTGAAAGATTTCTACAATGAGAACTACAATTCACTACTGAAAGAAATTAAAGAAGACACAAAAGGTGGAAAGACATCGCATACTCTTGGATTGGAAGAATCAACTTTGTGCAAATGTTCATACTACCCAAAGTGATCTACAGAAAAAAAAAAAAAAAAAAAAAAAAAAAAGAGAGAAAAAAAAATCTGGTAATCAATTTAACCAAGGAGGTGAAAGATTTCTACAATGAGAACTACAATTCACTACTGAAAGAAATTAAAGAAGACACAAAAGGTGGAAAGACATCGCATACTCTTGGATTGGAAGAATCAACTTTGTGCAAATGTTCATACTACCCAAAGTGATCTACAGATTCAATGCAATCCCCATCTTACTGAAAGAAATTAAAGAAGACACAAAAGGTGGAAAGACATCGCATACTCTTGGATTGGAAAAATCAACTTTGTGCAAATGTTCATACTACCCAAAGTGATCTACAGATTCAATGCAATCCCCATCCAAATATCAATGACATTCTTCAAGAAATAGAAAAAACAATACTAACATTAATATGGAGTAACAAAAGACCCTGAACAACAAAAGCAATCCTGAAAAAAAAAAAAAAAAAAAAAATAGCTGAAGGCATTACATTTCCTGAATTCAAATTATACTACAAAGCTCCTGATGGTTCACAGTGATTAGACAGTTTTGGGAAATAGTGACTTACCTGTAATAAGACAAGATAAAGCAGTATAACAGAAATGAGAATTAGATGTTGATAATGAAATAGAACATGTCAAATGGGTAATGTATAATAAATGAGGGGAGTTAATGAAAGAGCAAGTGGTAGTAGTAAATGGGCGTTATCTTTTATCCTAAATATAAGTTTATTTTCTGTCTGAGTCTATTTGGGTGATGGTACAGTCATTCTTTGCAGTCCTTTAGGGCCCAGGCTTGCAGTGCTGTGCAGAATGTGGCATCTACTATCATCTTGGGCATTGATACCCAGCAAGAAAATGGTGAAAGAAAAGGAATGTGTGGAGAACTGTGGAGGAGATTTTTGTGGTTTATTACTCTGACCAACCTGGCATTTCTGTAATAAATCCCACTTGGCTGAGATGTATTCTTTAGGTGTTGCAATATTTAATTTGCTAATATTTTGTTTAGAATTTTTTTTCTGTATTCATAAAGAAAGTTCACTCATAATTTTATTTTATTCTAAATAACTTTGCAGATTTTAGTATAAGGGATATGTTCTACTAAAATGTGCTGGGAATTATTACCCCTTTTTCTATTCTCCAGAAGAGTTTCTGGAAGATTTCTGTTATTTCTTTCTTATATGTTAATTAAAATTTACCTATTAAGCCATTTGGACCTAGAGATTCCTTAGTGTGTGTGTGTGTGTGTGTGTGTGTGTGTTTAGTTACTACAGATTCAATTTCTTTAACATGTGTGGTAGTCTTCAGATTTTGTAATTCTTGTCTCAGTTTTGGTAAGTTGTGTGTGTTCTTTTTCTCTAGTATTTTTTTCTTTTCATCTAAAATTTCATATTTATTGATATAATATTTTCTGATACCATATTGTCTTTCTTTTAAAAAATATCTCTAGGTTATGTAATGTCCTGAATTCATGACTGGTGTTGGAAATTTGTGATTTATTTATCATTTTATTTTTAACACACGTGATGTATCAATTTGATCTCTTTTCTATATGTCCTAAAAGGACATGTTTTTTGTGTGTATTTTCCATTTATATTTTTTTCCTTTTGCTATACTCTGTATTTTTTTTCCTCATTATCTTATGTTTTTCTGATCTTGCTTTCTGCTCTTTCATGTTTTTACTTCATCTATTAAGTAATTAATAATACATATTTTTCAGGTGTAGATTTCTGCTTCATAGATTCCCGTTCTCTGATAGAAATCTTCAGTCTATCCGTTTTCCCCATTTCCTTTCTATTTTGGGGGAATATTAAAAACTCTTTGGTAACTAATAGCTGAAACACCCATGGGTCTATTTCTTTTGTCTTCTGTTTTTTTGGTCTTACCTGTTGTTATCTCTGATAATTTTGTATTGAAAGCTGGATATTGTATTTGAACAATTGGAAAGGCTGTGTAGGATGTTACCATCCTTTAAAGAGAGTTTATCCTTTCCTTTCCTAAGCAGGCAGAGTTGGTGTCTAATCACCAATGGTTCCCAAACTTTGGGATGTATTAAAAACACTTGGAGAAATAATACAAAATATAGAGGCCGAGGATTGTTGCAGTAACACAGGTACTTCATCTCTTGATGCAGTTCAAGAATTGCCAAATGCCCCAAGGGAAAGCATTTTTGCTTGTGTTATATCACCTCTCAGCACGGTTTTCCTTTCTCAGTTATTGTTTCCCTTTAATTTCTCATTGCCTCAGTGCTCCCCAAAGCTTTTAAACAGAACTTTTAAAAAACAAAACAAGAGGACAGCAACAAAACCTTTTCTCTTTGTTCTCAGCTACAGAATGCCACAAACCACTCAATCAATATCATTCACGGAAGAAAAATCAATAGTTTGTTATTTTGAAAACAAAAGAGAAAAACAAGTCATGGTTTTAGTTTCTTTTTTCTTTCAGGAAAAACATAAACAAGAATTGGAAGACATGAGGAAAGCTGGTCATGAAGCCCTCAGCATTATTGTGGATGAATATAAGGTAGAGATTTGGGAGTCTGTTGTTTATTCTTTCAAATCTTGCATAACTTTGGTAAAAATATACAAACTATAGCTTTATTGTGTAGTCTTATTTTGGTATAGAATTCCTTTCAGTTGACCAAATAATGTTTATTGAAAGCATACCTGGTAGATTACAAAGGTAATGCTATGTATTGCTCTACTTTTGAGAAACTTAGATAATATTTGAGAATACAATATTGGCAGGAGAATAAGGTTGATTACAAAATAATATAGAATTAATTGCTAAATTATCTTTTTTGTCTGTGCTGTGATTTTGCCTCTCTGTTTCAGGAAAGAAAATATTAAGGCATGATATAAATCTGAAAAAACATTATACTATTTTTTCTTTTCTTAAATACATAGATTTGGGTGTACTTAGTAATAACAGAAATTACGATAAATGTCAATATCAGTGATATACAGTGAAATTGATATATTTACAATTATTTTAAAAGGATTCTTTTGATTCTGTGCCTGTATAAACTTAATCATTTAAAGCAAATTGAGAGTTTAATGTCAAATTCTTTCTTTCTCCCTAAATTTCATATTAGATCATCTTTCTTTTCACAGTGATATACAGTGAAATTGATATATTTACAATTATTTTAAAAGGATTCTTTTGATTCTGTGACTGTATAAACTTAATCATTTAAAGCAAATTGAGAGTTTAATGTCAAATTCTAAGCAATAGAGGAATATTCTTGCTGAAATCAAATTAAAACAATTCTCCCCGGAGGTAACCACCATTGCAGTTTGATTTAGGTTGTTCTAGAGGGTTTTCTCTATATTTATATGCATATATGCTATCATGCTATATAGTTTTGCTTTTATAAAAGTGTTATCCTACTCAATTTTCTTTTTTATTTCTTGATGTATTATCTCAATATGACTTGGAGATATTTTTATATCAGCACATATAAATTTATCCTGTTTTTGTTACTTATATTAATTTAGTATCTATTTTGATTTAAAGATAGTTTTGTTGGGTGTAAGATTCTTTGTAGACAGCTTTTTTTGTTTTTTAAATTTAGCATTTTGAATTTGTCATTTAATTGCCTTCTGTCCTTCATTCTTTCTGGTGAGAAGTAAGCTGTTAATCTTTTTGAGGTTCACTCGTATACAGTGAGTCATTTTTCTACTTTTTTCAAATTGTTTGTTTTTGGCTTTCCACATTTTAACTATGATGCGTCTGGGTGTTTATCTCTTTTTGTTTATTTTACTTGGAAATTATGGAACTGCTGACATAGGTAGATTGTTTTTCATAAATTTTGGAGAGTTTTCAGACATTATTCTTTTTTTTTTCTTCTGCTTTCCCTCTCTTCTCTCTTTGTGTTACTTCCTTTATGTATATTTTAGTTTTTGCTTAATGTTTTCTCAGATTATTTCTGAGGCTCTATTCATTTTTCTTTATTACTTACCTTGGCTCTGTTCTTCAGAATGCATGATCTTCATCAGTATTTCTTCAAGTTTACCTATTCTTTCTTCTTTCAGCTCAAATCTGTTTAGAACCTCCATTGAATTTTTTATTTTTGTTATTTTACTTTGGTTCCAGAATTTCTCTTTGGTGTTTTTATATAATTTCTGCTTTTTAAATTGATATTGTGTATTGTATGAGATGTTATCATTTTCTTTTCTTTTAGTTTTTTGAATATTTTTATAACCAGGGCTTTGATGTCTTGTCTGCTAAGTCTAACATCTGGGCCCTGTCAAAGGCAGTTACCATTGCCTCTTATTTTCCCCATGTGTGGGACACACTTTCCTATTTCTTTACATGTCTAGTAATTTTTATTGAAAATTGGATATTGTAGATGATATTTTATAGCAACTTTGTATTCTAATCCACACTGGTTGTTTTGTTGTTTGTTTCCTTGATTGTTTAGTGAGTTGGCTGGACTAATTCAGTGAAGTCTGATTCTTTCACCTTTTACAGCCTCTGATTTTGCTCTTCAGAAGGCATAGTTTTGGACATGAACATACTATTTATTACCACCAGAAATGACTGGCTGAGTGCCAGTTTTTTTTTTGACCATCTCTTCCTGATCTCCTTATTGAGCTTCTGAGTTGTCTGTCTGTATTTTTACATTCCTAACTTGTAGCTTCTGTTAATTTCTAGCTGATTGCTCTATTGTTTTTGACCATGTCTTGGGGCAGCCTTTGTTCCACATTCTCATCCAATTATAGTCGTAGTCATCCCCCTTGGCAGGGGTAATTTCTGTGCCAGTAGCTGAGGCTATATGTAAACCTTCCCTATTGTAGAACTTCTATGCTATGTTTAGGCACTGGAAGAATAAGATGGTTAATTTGTTTGTCCATGGCTTTTTCAACCTGATCTGCCTTTTGTATCTGTAGCTATTGTTAGGAGAAAGAGGGTGGGTACTACATCTTCCACATGGATGCTGCCGTTGCCCAGTAGACATGCTGCCATTGCCCAGTAGAGATCTTCCAGACATTAGAGAATGGCATCATCCAATTATTGCAGCTGGCAAATCTCCCTTGAATAATTTTTCTGCTTCAGGAATCTAGGAGAGATAGGAGTTGACACTTGGCTGCTGAGGCCAATCCGACAGTTCTCTTTCTCTTGTGCTCTGCAGGAAAGGAGGATTGCATTCTCTATCACCATCCCCCCCCCCTGCCCCAACGAACCTCTCTAGATAACAGGAATTAGGCATGGCAGAATGTGTGAGTGCTGCTACCAGAAGATAGAAGCTTTCTGCAGCATGGAGCTGTGGAAAACAGGAGCTGTTGATGTTTACCAGTGGCTGAAGCCACCAGGAATAGCTCTTCTCCACTAATGTGCTGGAGGAGATAAGAACGTCACTTGCCTGCTGAGCCTACTGTAATTGTTTTCAGTAAGGCTGAGCTGTGGGTGACAGATGAAATCCCTACCTAAGAATCACAGTCTCTGACCGTTCTTACCAAATTTCTATACATTTTGTTAAGTCCTTCTCAATTTGTTGTAAGCCCTTTAATCAATCTAAAGAGATTTTGAATGTTTGTTTTTGCTAATTTGACTTTCTTTTAAAGATGTCTCTCTGGGGTAGAGGTTTCTCCTAGTTCCTCAAATCACCATTCCAGAAATCCTCTCCCCCCAACATTTTTTTAAATCAAAATTAAAATAGTGGTTACTCTATTACATATATTTTTCATTTCAGAAATGATTTTCCTGAGGTCAATGAACATCTGGGAATCATGACATCCTCTTTATTCTCAACGTGTTGACAATAATTAAAGGTTTATTTATAAAATCTTGTCATATAAGAGTAGCTCAATCCTTGTGTCTTTGGTGATTCTCTTTCTAATTCTTTTTCAAAATGTGGGACTGTTCTTTTGCATGAACGATTTCTGAGATTATACATTTCATGATTTTTAGAATATATTTTGGGGTTTCATTTCATCAAATTGTCATGTCTTCAAATATTAATTTAAATCCTAATAGTCAAAGTGCCATTTTTATTTTCTACATGGGTAATCAGATAAAAACAAAAAAATCCCCTAAAATTCCTGTACATTTTTGTTAGCATATCTTGTGTACCTAACACCATTCAAATGAAATAGCTTTTTGTAAGATTACAAATGATGTGATCAGCAGCTTCTCTTTTAAGGATAGAAAAAAGTTGTGTTTCAGATAAAAACAAAAAAATCCCCTAAAATTCCTGTACATTTTTGTTAGCATATCTTGTGTATCTAACACCATTCAAATGAAATAGCTTTTTGTAAGATTACAAATGATGTGATCAGCAGCTTCTCTTTTAAGGATAGAAAAAAGTTGTGTCACAGCTTAAACTTTTTTTTTTTTTCCTTTTTGTCTTTTTTCATGTCCGGCAACGGACCGCAACCCTCAGTGTCGCGCCCGTACCGGACCGGGACCGGCAACGGGATTGCAACCCTCGGTGCTGCGCCCGCCCCTCGCTCAGCCAGTGAGCGGGAACCGGTCTGTATGTGGGATCCGAACCCTCGGCGGGAGTGCTGCCGCGCTCCTAAGCGGCGCACTGTAGCAGTGCGCCACCGGGCTGGCCCTTAAACTTTTTACAAAGAATTGAAAATTTGGGTTCACCTTGAATTATTCCTATCTGTAAGGATTAGCTGACTTCATCTAATTGAAATTTAGTTCTTTTGAATAACTAATTCTAAGTTCATACAACTTTAAATCATCTACTGGAGGAGCTGGCTAAAAAAGTTCTGCAATGCAATCCCATGTTTAAATAATATCTAAAGTTATTATGTACTATTAGTCCAAATATTATTATTTTATCTTTAGTGATTCTATATACTGATTTTATATCTTCTATGATTTTCTGAAGGAGTGTTACACATCTGCCAACATTTCTGCTTTGGAACTGCTAAGTACTTCAATTAGTAGAACTGATTAAAAGCATAGGTTTTTGAAGTCAGACAGACCTAGATCTGAGCCCCACCTCTACAGTTTTTTTTTTTTTTTCTTCTTAATATGAATTTTAGTTTCTCCATCAGTAAGTGGGGGAATAAATCATGGAAACTACTCATAGGAGTGTTGCGGAGATGCAGTGAGAAAACATTATTGCATAGCTAATAATTAAGCCCTTAATAAGTATTAATTATTGTAGTTATTATTATTTTAACATATCAGTTTTCTAGCATAGCAGTTGTGATGCTTTTTCATTATCTTATAGCTGATTATTAATTAGCTTACTTCTCAAAATTCAATACAAATTCATCTTTCAATCTTTTTGGAAATATCCACATGAGAAAAAAAGATGATAGCGCAACCCTTCATAGTCCTGGACTTCTGTTTAAAAGCCAGCATTCTTTTGTTCATTTAGAAAATAAATAGCTCACTACAGATTGATGAAAAGGACATGTGAAATTTTATTAAAGAACAGAAGAAAACAAACCTAAAATTAACCTAAAACTAACAGACTACATATGCCAACTTTCCCCATAATGTTTACTTAATTTCGTTTACTTTTTTATTTTATGTCATGATTTAAAAAATCTTTTATC